GTCTTCCTCGAGGAAGGAGATGAGGAAGAGCAGCCCACCCATGACCCGAGCCAGGCATGTGGCAATTTGAGGTGCCGGAAGGGAAGAAGTACTGAAAAAGGAGTATAACCAGACAAAAATGATACCCACTTTGTGCATATAGAATTGAGGGCACCTACTTGGGGCTATGGTGAGTCATACTAAGGACTGTAGGAGGGAAGCAATCAGCCCAGAAGTATTTAATTTCTGAAGTGAATGTAACTTTTGAGAACCAAATTTTTTTTTTTTTTCCTCCCAGGCAATTAGCAAACACGCTGATTTTACGGCAATACTTTTTTGAACACTTCAGAAAGATGCTAAAAAGGCTTCAATATAAAATTAACCATGTTTTTACAGAGAGAATGATGTTACTAGCATTTATTAGATTAAGATAAAATAACAACAAAGCTCACTTGATTTTGTTATGAGTGCTGTTTGGAAAAGTAATCCAGTTTAAGGCAAATGTCAACTTAAACAGAAAAGAAACCCCTGAGGATGAAGATGACTCAGAGTGATGCAGAAAGTGTAAGTTTGGGAAGAACTGATCTTGTGCATGAGGGGAAAATATATGACCTTCTCCTGGCTGACTGTCATGTATGAATTAATAGGGACTACTGGCGAATTCATAATAGTAGGAATAAAGACCAACAGCACATTGGTGAGAGACGTCAGGAAATCTCATTGCCGTCTGTACTAACTGGGCATGTAATGTTACAAACAGTTATGATGAATAATGTGATTTAAAAAAAAAAAAGTGCCTTTTTCTTTCAACTTCATATTTTAGCAGATAGTGCTGTATTCCTTGTGTGATTAGGGAAAGGAAAAAGAGATTGTTAAACAAGGAAGAGCGTTAAATGCACATGCACCTGAAGCTAAGCCGAGTTTGCTCTTAATAAACTTGAAGGCCGATGTGCAAAACTGTGTTTGAATTGTAGCTGGGTCATCAGGAACCAAATTCTGCCCTTATTTACACTTCACCAGCTCTAGGCGGGCTCTGAGCTGGCTTCATCCTTGTGCCTCACCCAATTCAGGAAGAACCTGCTGGGTTTGGAGTTAATTTGTGCTCCGCTCAAAGCATCTCTTCATCAGGGCAGGGCAGGGTGCGGAGCAGCGGTGCCCGAGCTGCGGCAGGAATGGGGTGTCGGGGTGCAGAGACTCCCGGGTCCTCCGAGCAGCCGCGTGCTGGAGGAGCTGCTGGGCCTCGCGGTGGGTTCCCTTGGCACAGCCCCGCCGTGGAGCCGGTGGCTGTCACCCTGAACATCTCCTCAATTTGTCCCCTCTTGCTCTGAGGTACGTGGCGCGGGGGCCTGGGCGGGAGATCGGCTCTTGGCAGCGATCGGTGAAACTGCAGGTTCCTTTGGCTGCGCTGGCGCTGGCTTTGGTCAGGTTTGCTTCCTTGTCTTAATTGTGGTGAATAGCAAGGGCCTTGCTGCCCCACAGCTTGAAGTTTCTGCGTTTGGTCTGGAAATAATGGCACTACAGAGCTTTTATAGAACCTTGGTCTCGGGCCGGGTTTGCCTTCCCTGCTGCTCCTCCGCTCCCGCCTGGAGTCCTGCCTCACCCAGAAGATGCTCCTGCACCTTTTTTCGACTCTTTTCTTGCTCCGTGTCCTTTGCCGGTAACAGGAGCCCACATCCTCCTCTCCTCAGCAGCTGGAACATCTTGAGTTTACACTCAAAGGCTTTGGGATAGGAAAAAGCAAAGAGGTCACCTTGGGACAAGGGGCACAGTTGAACACTCGCTTTCAGTGTCTAGGTCAAACACAAGACACCTCAGCCCTGGTACCCCACCACGGAGAAGCACCCATAACTAAGCAGGGCAGAAAGCAACAGAACTTCCCTGTTTACAACTTATTTTTGCCATAAGCCTGGGGAGAAGACAGGAAAAGCACTGATTGTTCTGGGCTTTCTTTTCTGGCATAATTTTGTTTGGTGTTCAGAGGAAACCATAAAATATCTTGGCTAGAAACGATTCTACTGGTCTCACTGGATTTGTGTGTGTTGGCATGTTCAATGGAGCAGCTTTTGTTCTTTGTCTGTTCCCAGGGTGGTGGTCCTGGTTAAAGCTGTGGCAGGAGGGGAGGAAGATGGCCCTCGAGCTGGGTAAAAGCCCAGAAAGGGCTTGAGAGCCAGGATTGTGTTTGGTCCTGGCAAACCCACTGCACTAACTGGTTTGCGTCTTGGATGCAGAGCCTGGAGCTGACTGAAACCAACCACCAGCAGCCTGTCAGAGTCTCTGCGCCGGGAGAAATTGGTGGAGCAGAGCTGGTGCAATACTCCAAAGGTTTCCTTAATGGAGACTGGTGCTCCTTCTCAACTGTGCCTTTTTTACTGCTTCATCTAATTTCAATCCAGCACAACCTGTGCCACCCCTGAGGACTTGCCAGGATCGTGCCCACCTGGCACCGGCCGCTAGAAATGAGTCTCCAGCCAGGTCAGGGGCTGCTGTAGGTGCAGGCCCAGCGCTGGTGGGTTCTGCTGTTGGTCAGCGGGTCCCGTCTCCATCCCTGCACACAGGCTGGAGGTGAGGCTGGTCCTTCAGCAGCTTTTGAGGCTGCTGAGATCCTCCCACGCAAGAGGCTGTTCATGTGGCAAGTGCGGTGCTCTCTGACGAGAGCTTACAGCGTGTGGCATCTTCCTTAAACTGATTTATTTTGAAGCTTGCCTTGCTTGACTCTGCCACAAGATCTCCCTGGAGGAGACAGCTCCAGCCCTCGCTCCCCTCTGCTCTCTTTCCATCCCAGCCAGACCCAGCACGGCCAACCTCCCTTACCCAGAGCAGAGGTTTCCTCAGGACTCTGCCCCGCTCTCTCCCACCATCCTGGTAACACAAACCGGACCCTGTCACCGTTACAGCGCTGGCTCAGCCCCGCTGTTACAGGGGAGGTTCCAGCTCCTTCCAGATGTGAAATGGCAAATTTAAATATTGCAATTACAAACGTGTAACGAAGCCTTGTACTTCATTAATGTAAGAGGAGGAATCTGCTACAGCTACAAGGACAATTAAATATTAGAGAATGTCTTTGATTCACATTCCTGCTGTGTAAATGGGAGGAAGGTTGCTGTATGCTCCCTGCCTTTGCGCTCACAAATGAAAAGCACACCCACTGCAAGTTGTCCTTTGATAGATTTTTAATATGATTTTAAAGAGTTTTGTTTGGCCTCATTCTTATTCAATGAGATTAATTTAAAGCACTTATCCCCTGGGTTTAAGTCAATCCATGTAGGATTTGGGACGGGGGTTTGTTGCCCGGGGAGGGGGGTTGTTTGCAGGCCTCTCTGAAAGACTCCTTTCCCACTTCATTAACCTCGAGCTGGGAGCGACCCCCCTTCCTCCTCCTTCTCCTCCTCCTCGCCCCAGCCGAGGCCCGGGGATTTACCAAACTCCCCCATTCACATGCAAAGGAACAGCCCGGTCCACAAAGGCCGGGGGGGGGGGTGCTCTCGCCTCCAGGCGTGGCGGTGCATTTGGCCGAGCCGACAATAACCCTCCCGGCGGGGCTCGGGGGTGCCGGGGCAAAACTCCCGGGACGGAGCCGGGCCGGGGGCAGCGGGGACCCGGCCCCGGGGAGCTGGGGGGATACTGGGGAGCCGGCGGAGTGGGGGGGGGGGGGCTCCGCAGACAGGAGGCTGGGGGGGGGGGGGGGGGCCGGGGGGGTGGTGGGGGGCCGGGGGGGTAGGGGGGGCCGGGGCCGCAGCCCATCTGTCGGCTCCCGGAGCGGGCGAGCCGCTGCCCGGCTGTCCCGGGGACCAGCTGCCGGGCTCGCTGGCCGCGGCCAGATGAGCGACACTTTTCAAGGGTGGAAACAATCCATTCTCCAAAGCGATCATTTAAAGCACTTAGGCAATTATACACTTAAGATTAGCGTTATTAATTCACCAGCGCCGCGGCTATCACCGCGCCGGGCAGCATCGCCCCGGTCGGTGCCCGCCTGCCCCCCCCCCCGGTCCCGCATGCCGGCACTGGGGCCGGGCCCGGGGGGGTGGGGGGAGCCCCGAGCCCCGGAGAGGCGGGGGGGTCCCTTTGATGAGAGGTGGGAAAACTCCTCTTTGCTTTTTGCTTTCCCTCGGCGGCGGCTGATCCGCCAGAGCAAACAAGCAGGAGGGGAAGAAAGGGCCGGCGGAGGCGAGACCCGTTTGTTTGTAAAGAAGTTTTATTTCCACATTTAAAAAAGGGGGGGGGGGGGGGGGAAGCGGGAGCGGCCGCGGCGCCCCGACTCCCCCCCCGCGCCCCCCGCCCTGGCCGGGCCGGCCCCGGGATACAGACTGACAAGAATCACTTACACAAATACGCCCTCAGGGTTCACAAATAAATAATTCATATACATTTTGCGCACCGTATTTACATTTCGCTGCTTTTTTTTTTGTTTTGTTTTGGGGTTTTTTTTTGTTTTTTTTTGAAGTTACGGACGTCCCATGGTCTCGCTGCGGCGAGCAGAGACCGGCGACCCGGCCCCCCCCCCCCTCCGCCCCCAACGGCCCTTCCCGGCGGCCGGACCGGTGCCCCCGGGCCGGGGAGCCGGGGAAGGCGGGGAGGGGGCTCCCCGGAGCCGTCCAGGGTAGGTGTAGCTCGGCACACCCCCCCCCGGCAGTTCCTGGGGAGGGGGCGGAGAGGCAAAGCCCCCCCCCGGAGCTGCCCGTGCTGCCGGCGCCGTCCCAGGCGCAGGGAAAGGGGTGGGGGGGAGCGGAGGGGGGGACGGGCCGCAGCGGCCCCTCTGCCCTTCGGGGGGGCACAAGGGGGTAAGGCGACGAGTGCCCCGCGGGGAGATGGAGAGGGGGGGAAAGCTCTGCCGGCTCTTCGTCTCGCCAAACCTTGCTTCTTGCATTCTTTATATATATTTTAAAAAAGGAAGGGGTTGGGGGGGGAGGTCTCGTTTATATATATATATTTATATATTTGGGGATGAGCGGGAGTCTGTCGCTTGCTCGCGGCCCCAGAGGTGGGGTGCCCCCTTTCACCCCCCCCCCCCCAATTCAGCCTCCCAACCCCGGGGGGGGGCTGCCCGGGCTGCCGGGGCTCACCGGGGCTGCGCGGCTCGGGGCAGGACGCCGGGCAGCGGGGGCAGGGGCGGGGGGGGCTCGCTGCCGCCCTGCAGTCCGTGGATGAGGATGCGGGGCACCAAGGGTCTCTGGAGGGCGGGGGGGGGGGGCGCTGGGTCCGCGGTACAGGTAGAGAGCGGCGCCGGGGTCCAGGTTGGAGACCAAACTCTGCGGGTAGAAGTAGGGCGAGGGGAACATCCTCTGGAGGGCTGAGTAGTTGCCAGCCTCGGCCAGCAGCTCCAGGCCCACCGCCGTCTGCCTTTTCCACTTGGTCCTGGGAGGGGGGACAAGTCGAGAGAGGGGTGTCAAGGAGGGAGGGATGCTCCAAAAGCCGCTCCCCGGCTTTTTTTTTTTTTTTTTCTACCCTTTGCACATCCCCTTTCCCCAGACCCTGCTCTCCTTGCCCATCCTTTCTCCCCGCCGCTGACTCCCGGGGATACGGCAGGGATGGGGTGGGATGGGATGGGGGGGGACCAACCCAGTGTCGGGGGGACGTAGACCCCATGAACGAGATAAGGGGGCTTATATCCCCCGTGGCCCCGCCGCGGCAGCCCGCCGTGAGAGACCACGGAGATTTCCCGGGGGCATCGGAGCCGCATCCCGGCTGGGATCCGCTGGCGGGGTATAAATCCCTGCGCTAGAAATCGCGACCAGCATTTCAGTCCCCTCCTGGGGTGGAAATTCCAGATTGCAACTTGCGAACGACATTTCGTGTGTGACACGCGGGATCCTCGCCCCGGCAGCCCCGCCGCTGCGCAGGGATGCTGATGCCGCGCTGCTCCGGCCCACGGTCACGGCGGCCCCACTCCCCCTCCTGGGGGTCCGGGACCCCCTCCCCGGGCCGAGCCGCTCGGGAGTCCCGCGGGGGGACGCGCGTGGGGCCGCGTCCCGGGGCATTCGTTTGCAGCATGTATATATGTGCGTGTCTATATATATGTATGTATATTTATATATATATATGCATATATACGTACATATAGGCATAGGTATGTGTGCATATATATATATATAAAATATATATACATAGATGTGTCTGTGCCGGATCTCATGGGGAAGCCCCGGCCCCGGGATCTCGCCACGTCGGGGCCCTGGGCGGGCCGGGCTGGGGGGGGGGACGGCTGGGGAAGGGGCTGGGAACACCGGCCCCGCTCCGGCATGTCCTTGCGGGAGGGATCTGGGGAGAAGAGGGGGTGAGCGCACAGCCCCCGCCGCCCCCGAACTCCCCCAAAACCCCGACGTGTTGATAAGTCGCGGATCTTTGCAGATGGCGAAGCGGGACTGGAAATGAGGGGGAGGGAGGGTTAAAACCTGGGGTAAGGGAGGGGGGCGGGGTGGGGGCTGCAGCCGAGGGTCCCTCGTTTCGCGGCCGAGGCTGAGGAAGCACCGATGGGGATGTCCGGATAAATCCACTGAAGCCATCACACGTCTCCAGCCCTTTTACAGATTTGTCGCTGAAGCGCTAAACCTATTTCCACCAGTAAATTATTCATCATAATAATAATTGTGTAATTACTGTAAGGGGTGTTAATTATTGATGCCCAAAGCAGTAATTGGTATCTATTATTAATGGGCCGATGTGTTATGCTGTTGTGTTTAGCTGGAAGCCCAGTCCTGCCTCCCCGGCTTGTCGGGGCTGGGGGCACGGATTGCCCCCCCCGCCCCGCACCCCAAACCTGCCCTGCCTCGGCTTCACTTTTCTCCCCTTTACTTTGGGGTAAAAGGCCCCCGGGACAGGGGGAATACACGACACCGCACCTCTGCCGGTGCCGGGAGGGACGAGGTGGTTTGGGGTGCAAAAGCCCTGCCCGATTTGGGGGTGCGGGGCGGGGGAGAGGGGCGGGATGGGACCCCGACGCTGTGGGCAGGAGGGAACGGTGTATTTTTTACCTTCTGTTCTGGTACCACGTTTTCACCTGCGTGTCGGTGAGGTTGAGGGAGGCGGCCAGCTCCATCCTGTCCTGCACGCTCAGGTATTTTTGCCTCTCGAAGCTGCGCTCCAGCTGGGCCAGCTGATGGTCGGTGAAGGCGGTGCGGGCTTTGCGCGGCTTTTTCAGCCGCACCGGGGGGCTGTCCCGGGAGCTGGAGATCTCTCGGTCCCCTTCTTCTTTCACTGAGCCGAGAGGGAGGAAGAGAAGCCGGGTCAGGGCGGGAAGGGAAGGGAAATACCCTCAAAAGAGGGGGGTAACCCACTGCATTCCTACCTCGGCGGAGTCGGGCCCGCGGCGCATTTGCTCTGCAACCCCACCAGTTTGAACCCCGGCTGCCCACGGGAGACCCACGGGGGTCCCCGAGCCGGGGAGCCACGGGCCTGGGAGCGGGGCTGGAGCGCCGGGCTGTGCTGCGGGGACCCCCAGAAACCCCCGGCCCAAACCCCCCCGCATCTCCCTCCCCCCCTTTATTTCTCACGGGGACCAAACCCTGCGCTGGATTTAGTCCCCCAAACCCAACAGCTTTCTCGATGCTTGGATTTTTTTTTTTTCCTTTCCCTCTTTCCCCCCACCCTTTTTTTTTTTTTTTTTTTTTTTTTTTTTTTTCTGTTTAAACCCAAGCCAACCCAAAATGGAAATTGTGAGCCCATATTTTTGGAGGAGAAAGTCGCCGGCGTGGTGCTGCTTCTCCCCCTCCGTCCTCCCGGGGATGCTGAAAACAAACCTCCCTTCTCCAGGGAGCACAACGAAATACTGGGGAAGGGGCTCCGCAAGCCCGTGCCTGTGCTGTTATTTATCTTAAATAATGCAGAATGAGACGGGCTGGCGGCGGTTCGTTAGCGCGGACGGTACATACGCACCGGCGGAGGGACGCGGACATTTTCGCCGCGAAACATTAGTCTGTGTCGGGGAAATTTCCGAGCAGGAGGAAAAAAAAAAAAAAAAAAAAGGAAAAAAGAAAGAAAAGAAAGAGGGAAAAAAAAAAAAAAAAATCCCTGTTTGTGCTCTCCTTCCCCACCCTCCTGCAGGCGATTATGTAGGAAAACAGGCTCAGTTTATACAAATCGGCGCGTTTGGGGTTTTTTTACGGGGTTTATGTTAAATTTGCTGGTGGCGGGGGTTAGCAGGGACAGGTCTGTAGCCGAATGCGAGCTGATTTCCCTCTGTAGGAAGACAATAATCCGGTTAATTGAGTCACCGGGGAGCGAAACCCTTCAACCAGAAATCCCGGCTCTGGCCGAGCGGGCAGAGCCCGAGCCGGGAACGAGCTTTAAAACACGGAATCCAGCTCCGGTTCCCGGGAAAGGCGCCGGCACCGCCCGGGAAGGGGCCGGAGCCGGAGCCGGCAGGGTGAGGGGGGTGTGGGGGTGTCCCGGCTCCTCGCCCACCCGGGAAAGGCCCGAAAGTTTGTGCGGAGTTTTTTCGTGGAGGAAAAGCGGGTCCGGCCTCCCGCCCCCCCCCCCGGGGAAGGCGAATCTCCCCCCGGGCTGATCCTCGGCTCCTAAAAAGTTCCTGCTCGCCCAAGGGCTGCGCTCGGCGGCGGCTTCCCCGGCCGGCTTCGGTTCTCTCCCCCGGCTATTCCTAGCTTAAAAAATATATATATAAAATGAAAAAAAAAAAAAATTACGGGTTTTTCGGTATTTTGGCACCGGCCAAATCCTCCCGCAGCTGCTGCGGGTTAGGCCTGGTCCCACAGCCCCTTTGCGGGGTAAATCAGGGACGTTTTGCCCCAGGAAAATCTATTTTCAAAGCAGCAAAAAAAAGAATCACGTTATGAGCGGGGACTTTCACCCGCTACCCCGTTGAAACGATGTTTTTACCCTCATTGAAGCTGTGGTTTCTTCCCCATTTAAGCTATGTTTTCCCCCCATTTAAACTGTGTTTTTCTCCCGTTTAAGCGGTGTTTTCCCCCCCGATTTAAGCGGTGGTTTCTGCTTCTCGATTTAAGGGTTTTTTTTTCCCCCATTTAAGCAGCTTTTTTTTTTTTCATGGTCGTGGCTGCCCCGTCGCAGGGGCAGGCGAGGAGCCGAGCGCGGTTGGGGTACGGGCCCCCGCGCCCCAAACCTGCCCCCCCCCCGCCCGGGCTCGGCCGGCTTAGGGGGGATGAGGAAAACCCGCGTTTCTTCTCCTCCTCCCTCGTTTTTTTGGCGCTTCAGCTATTTGGGGGGAGAAAAGCTGAAGGAATCCGGGGGCACGGGAGGTCGGGGGGGGAATGTAGAAGGTGAAAACAAAACGCCAAGGTGGGAACCGCGGCCGTTTTCGATCCCGGCCCTGCAAAGCGGTGGGGCCGAGCCCCCGGGTCGCTTCCAGCCCCGGCCCCGGGCTCCCCTCGGAGCGAAAATCCCCCCGCCGTGCCCGGAGCCTCCCGTTGCCTTTGGAGGCTCGTTTGAGGGGGAATATTTTTTTCCTCCATAAAGCGGATTTCAGCGCGGCGGCTCCGGGAGGGCCGAGGGTGCATCTGCAGTTGGGCCGGGGGCTCGGCCTCATCCCCACTTTTCCTGCCAACCACCCCCCTACTCAAAATCCAGCAGCTCCCCCAGGAGCCATCGCCTCCCCTTTCTCCCCCCAGCCTCGCCTTGCACCTCGCAAACAGACGGCAAACAATTTTCCATGGGTGAAAGTTTTTTTTTCAGGGGTGATGGGGGCGGGATGGGCGAAGGCATCCTGGATAAATTGCTCCGGGGGGCGAGGACCGACCCCAACCCGCCCCCTCCCCGCCCGGCTGCCGCGGGGGGAGTCGGGGAAGGGGCTGCGAGGGGCCCGGGAGGCCGAAGCCCCAGGCCCTGGGCGAGCAGTCGCCGCATCCAGCCCCGTTCCCCGCCTGTGCCGTGGATGCGGCCCGGGGCTCCCTGCCTGTCGTGCTCGGTTTTAAAATAATCTCCAAAATAATAATAGAAATAATACAAATCGAATCAAACCCCGCCGACTTTCTTTTTCGTTTCTCACCGGAGCGGGAAAAATACCCAGCAAAGCAAAACCGTGATTATTTTATTATTGTTTTGTTTTCTTTTCCTTTTTTTTTTTTTTTTTTTTTTCCTAGGCAGAAATCCGCCCCCGGCTCTGCTCTCCCCATTCCCCGCGGGTAGGAACGCAACAGCCGAAGCTTCCCTGCGGAAAACAGCCCGGCGCATCCCTCCGGGCGCGTCTGACGAAGCCCCGATCGCCCCGACCCCTTCCACCGCGCTGAGCCCCCAAGTTTTCCCAAGTTGGTGCCGACCCCGCGGTCAATTCAGGGGCGACCGGTGCCGCGACCCCCCCATCACCGGGTCGCGCCGCAGCCGGCTCCCGCCGCACCGGGAGGCTTCGGGGCCGCCGGTGGTTTTTGGGGTCCAGGCCGCCCTGCCTGCAGCGCAGAACGGGGTGAGCGGCTCTTACCTTTGTACTCCGAGTCCGAAGAGGAGCTGCTGGTGTTTTTTTCCATTTTCTCCCTAAAGTCCTCGCCGGGCTTGGTGGGGATCCTGCCCGCCGGCTCCTGCCCGCCGTGAGGTCCATTGGTGCTGGAGTAAGGAGCGCAGGCGGCCAGGGGCTTGCAGTCGGCCAGGATGTCTCTGATGAGGAAGGAGGAGGTGACGGTCCGGGACTGGGAGGGAGCCGAGACCTGCCCCGGCTGGAGATGCGCATCCAGGCCCGGCCGCGGCCCCACCGCCTCCAGGCACTCGCGGCCCGGCGAGCGGGGCGAGGGGCACCCGCTGCTGCCCTCCGAGCGGGGGCTCAGCTCCAGCGGGGACCGGCCGTCCCCCACCAGCGGTTCCCCCTTGGGCACGGCCGGGCTGCCGGCTCGGTGGGAGAGGATGGAGTCGATCCCAAAGCCGGTGGAGCCCTCCATGGCCCCCGAGAAGTGCCGGCGCTCACACGGGCATTGGCGGGGGGAGGGCGCGGCGGAAGCGGTTTGATAATGATAATTAACAATAACAAGAGGGGGGGGGGGGAGGGAAGGCAAAAGGAAAAAAAAAAAAAAGGGGGGGGGAAAGGTAAAAAGGAAAAAAAAAAAAAAAAAAAGAGCAAAGTTCAGCCTGGGTTCCGGGCAAAAATTGCTGCAAGGCTCTCCGAGGCGCCGCGCGTTAGATCCAGGGCTGCTCCGTCTTCAGCATCGCGCCCAGCTGCACTCACAGACAGACAGACAGAAGAGGGGGGGAGAGGGAGGCAGAGTCAAACTTTGGCCGCGAAGGGGCTGGAGGGGGGGACGGACCCCAACCTCACCCGGGGTCCCGGCCCCTTACCCGGCCACCCCAGCCTTGCCCGGAGCCGCGGCGGCGCGGGGCTGGGGGGCAGCCCGGGGGCTCCCAGCCGGAGGTGGGGAGGCGGCGATCGATAGTGAAGCTTCGCAGCGCCTTAACCACTTAATGATCCAGAAATCAATGGGGAAGGGCGAGGGGAGGGCGGAGGGGGTGGCCAGCCGTCGGGCCGCCGAGGCGCCCCCCTTCCCCGCCAGAACCTCGGCCAGAGCGGGGGAGGAAGGGGGGGGGGGGGGGGGGAAGACCGGAGTCACTCCGGAGCCAAGGCTCGCCTTCAGCACCTCGGACAGACACCGGACGCCGGAGTCACTCCGGAGCCTGCGCCTCATTCAGCACCTCGGACAGCGGCGGGAGCGCCGCGCCCTCGGCGGGGGGGAGGGGAGAAAGCGGGGGGGGGGGGAAAGGGGGGGGGGGGAAATGAACTTGTGCCACTCAGGCTCGGGGACCCCGGCACCCCCCCCTCCAGACTCCCCCCCCCCCCCCCGTGTGAATGCGCCCATTGGCCGCGAGGCGTTTTGGGGGATGTCACTCCCCGGCGGCGACACCTTGCAGCTTGATTAACGGGAATTAATTGCCGCCCGGATCCCCACGCTTTCCGGGCGGTTTCCGCCCTCTTTTGCTGTCATTATCCCACTGATGGGGCTCGTAATGGGGTGATTAGCCGCCGCGGGGAGCGGGGGGGAATGTCGCGGGGTTGTTGCTTTCTGCTCGCCTCCCCCCGCAATTAGCCGATCTGCCCGTCCCTCCCAAGCAGGGAAAGTTTTGCTGGGCGTTAAAATTAAAAAAAAAAAAAAAAAAAAAAAAAAAAAAAAAAAAAAGAGAGAAAGAAAAAGAAAAGGAAAAGCACCGAAACCCTCCCCAAAGCCCCAGCGCAGAGGCGGCTGCTCAGAGCCCGAGTTGAGCCTCGGAGCTGCGAATTTCGTTGAATCCCCTCGAAATCGGTTGCGAACGAGCAGAGCCAGCAGCCGCGGGGCCCGGCTATCTCCTCCCGCCCGCTGCGGCGGAGCCGGGGCCGCCCTTCCCGCTCACCCAGCGCCCAGCGACGGTACCTACTACTGCAACTGGGAAGGGACCACGCTCCAGTTTTAAATAAAACCCCGCTGGCCCCAGCCCGGGCTGCCCGTCCTGCCCGCTTCTCCCGGAGACACAAAGTTTCCTCCCTCCCGCCCCGTCGGGGGGTTTTGCTGCTGCTGATCTCCCAGGCTGGAGAGGGATCGGCTCACGCAGGGCTCCCACCTTCCTCCTGGTCAGACCGGCTCCTGCCTCCTCGAGGGTTTATTTAGGGGCTTTTCCTGGGGGTAGACCCTTTGTCGCGGAGATGAGGAAAATGTCCACACCCGGGTGCGTGAGGCTGCGCCACTTTAAAGCGATGTCGCTGGTTATTTCTCAAATACTCGATTTCTTCTGTTCCCCACCTTCCCGGCCAGGCAGCTGCAACTTGTCCCTCTTCCAAAGCCGCCTTTGGCCGGCAGCTTGGAGGCGATCAACGAGGGGAGAGCCCCCCCTGGCCCCCCCGGGAAGCCCGGCTGCCAGCTGTCGGGCAGCGGCGCAGGCAGGGCCCCCAGCACCTCCTGCCCTCGGCCCTGCAGGCTCGGGGCCGGCTGGGCTCGGGGCAGCGGAACAAAAGAGCCTTAGGGGAGGAAAAACCCAGGGAGAAAATCAACATCAGCCCCCGGCCCAGCCTGCCCCCACCCTGGGGGTGCAACGCACCCGGCGCTGGGGGCTGCTTCTCCTCCCTGGCCCTGGGCAAAGGATTCCTGCTGCTGCTCTGCCCTGTCCCCTTCCCAGCATAGAGGTGCTGCCCCAGTGCCAGGGACTGGGGGCCAGGCTGAAGGGTCCTGGTTTGCCGGGGGTCGGTTTGGAAGCAGCCATCTCCCCAGGGGGGGCTGGGCCAAGGGTTACTTTGGGCTGGACCGGAGCAACAGATGTGCAGGAAACTGGTCCCAGTGAGGAACGGGGCAGAGAACCCGATGGGGTTTCCCAGCTCTTTGCTGTGTGACTGTGTTGGTTCCTGGGCTCTGGCAGCCTCCCTGTCCAACCAGTAGATCCCATTTGGGCTGGAGATTGGCACTGGGATCAGGAGCAGTAGTGAGGTTGTGTTTGGGACTAGGAATGGGACTAGAAGAGGGAGCAGGGCCGGGAGTGGGATTGGAATCAGGATTTGGATCAGCCATGCAGGGACAGGTTTAGTCTGGTGGGTCTGCTGCTGTATTTCCCTCTTTTCAATAAAGCGTTTGCCTTCAAACAACTGCAAGGAAGTTTCCAGATCAGACCCATTCTTTGATGCTTTGTAAGATTTTTGGGGGTAAGTGTGTGTGTGGGCCAGTCCTTATCCCTGAGCAGACACTATATTGTGCCCTCCCCAGCCAAGGCCCTGGGGACAGACACTGTCACTCCTCGGCCATACTTGAAGCTCCCAGCAGCTACAGATGCACTTGCTACTTATTATGTTCTGATGTCAGTGTGGCTGACATTAATTAATACGAATTATTAATATTATTAATACTATTAAGTTGATTCAGAACTAGACTCCCCAAGGCAGGAACGTGCCCCATGCTGCCCATATGTGGTGTCCTCCCTACATCACTGGAAACTGGATAAGTGGGGTGCAAATGATTTATCTGTGTCTCCCAGCACAGGTAGAAAATCCTGTGTACAGACCGAGCAGTGCACACTGCCTGCCCCGGGTGTGTCTGCCTTTAAACCCCATTTTCTAGACTGTTCCTGTTCACAGACACACAGGCATGCACCAGACAAGAGGAGATCCCTGATGCCAGCTGCATTTCCAGTTACCTCCCCACAAGCCCCAGTTGCACCCCAGGGTTGGCTCTAGGACTCTGACAGCTTTGGGACCTGCCTCGCATCCCACCTCGCTGGGTGCTTCAGGCTCTCTTGGCACCAGTTGCCAGTGCTGGTTTGGCCCTGGGGCTGTGGGGCAGGGCTGACCCCAAGTGATCCTGGAGATGTGGGGTGTGGGGAGAGTGCTGAAGGGGCTGGGGGGATACCTCCACAGCTGAATCAGGGCTTGGAGGGCACAGGCTACTGAGCTGCGGTGATGACTGTAGCAAGAGTTAGTCTAGAAATATCTGCTGGTGGTGCACAGAGCAGTATCCCGAAAGGGTTTGGCTTAGGGAGGAAAATCCCCGGAGACTCTGTTGTGCTGAATTTCTCTCTGAACTGAAGCTGAGAATTCACTTACAGAACCCAAGCTGGGTGTTTGGAAAGGCCATGCCCGGGCAGGCTCAGAGAGGGATGCTCAGCAGCGACAGGCTTCGGTGGGATGCTCCGGTAACGAAACGAATGTGTCTTCAGGAGAGAGAGAAGAGCAGGGCGGCTCGGGGAGGGGGAAACGGCAGAAAAAAAAAAGGGGGGGACAATCAGCCGGAGGGTCGCAGTGACGGGGAGGAGCGGGGCCCGGCGGCGGGGAACCTGCAGCAGCGTTAAAATCCCCTTTACCAGTGGGTGTCACTGCAGGACAAGGAGCGTCTGGGGCTGCGCGGGGGGTCGGGACCCCGGCACCGGGCTCCGCCGGGGCAGCGGGGAGCGGGGGGAGTCCTGGTTTGCGGCTTGGTTGTGTGTGTGTGTACCCCTCCCCTCCGTCAGCTTGGCCCTGGGCTGGGGGCGCTGGGGACGATCCGAGGTGGAACCTCGACCGGGGGACAAGGCTGCCCGGCCCCCCACGGGGTGCAGGTGGGTGCCCGTTTGAGCTGTAAGACACGGGACATTTTGGGACACGACCCTGCCCAAGATTTCGGGGTGCAGTGGGGCTGTCAAGCCCCATTGAGTGGTGTCCCCTCCTGAACGCACTTTGTTTGACTTGGGTGTTGCTTTTTTGGGTTTCCGGTCTCTTTGCTGGCTTCTTGGACCTGTCCCAGAGCAGCTGGTCTGTGAGGGCTTGTTTCACACCGTGTTCATTTTCCAGCCCCTTTCCAGCAGTGCAGGACTCCCTGGAGGCCCTTCCTTCCCTGCACACACCCCATGGACCTGCGCGGTTGCTGCAGGTGGACACAGATGTTGTGGCTGGAGCAAGAGCTGGATGTGGCTCCTGCCAGGCAGCCAGGCAAACCTCGTGCCTGGGTTTCTCACACACTCATAAACAGTGTCATTTTTAGCAAGACAAGTGGTTTAAGGCCTGGCTTCCTCCCTCCCTGAGGAGGTGGGAAAGGTCTCTGGTTATAATCCACCCTTGCTAGCATGGCAAACCCTACTGTTACCCTCCTAGTTATTTTAGATGGGTTTTATTTAGAGGTCTGTACTAAAAAGAGAGAACTGCATGTCAGGGTTTCCCCGATGTGGAGCAGGTGATTTCTTTCCTCCCTCGCTCAGGTGTGGGCAGGGTGGAGTTTGCTACAGCTGCTTCCTTATATAAAGAGCAGGTTGAGGCACAAGCTGCTCCTAAGGAAGGGATGTGGGAAATGCCAGAGCAGCTGGTGTGGAGCCTTCCTTGGCCTGGGAGGGGTAAGAAAAGCTGCCCCTGCAGTTTGCTTTGTTCTTGTCTCCTGAGCAATGCAGTTTAATGTTATGAAGGACTTTGCTCTTTGAGATTTGTGTTTAAAAGTTTGTTTGGAAATCTGATGGGGGACAAGCCCTGGGCTCAGTATAGCTTCTCTATGTGCTGGTGGGTGGATGTAGGAGGGCTGGGTACCCCCAGTGCTGAGGTGTGTGGGGCAAAGTCATGCTGGGCACATCCACTCCCTCTGCAGTGCTTGTTACTGGCCCCTTCCTGAGCTGGGGCTGCCCAGGACAGCAAATCTCACCTCTCAGAGGATGGCCCTGGGGTGCCCCGGTCATCCTGGGGTGAACACACCTGAGCTTTCAGAGTGCCAACAGGATGATGAATATGAAAACTGAAAGCTAAAATATTGGACTTGTGTTATCTGGTGCAATCTGAGATATAACAGTAGATGTGGGAAGTTGACTACGTAGGAGTAATTAATTATTCCTCTAGCCACCTTGGAGGTGCACAGTTAAAGTAATCACTGTTATTGACAAGTGGTATTTTCTTAAGGTGAAATGCCCTGTTGGTTGGAGATGGATTTTGGATGTGTTGGCACCTGTCTGAGGCTCTGCTGTCACCTGTCGGTGATCATGCCGGTGTTTGGGTGCTGTGATGTTGAATTGGTGTTGATGGAGTTTGAGTTTGTTCAGCAACTGCTTAGAGAGGTTCAGCCCTGAGGGACACCAGGCACCAGCAGGTATTCGAGGGCGAGCGTGGGACTGGCTGGAGCCATCTTCAGGTGAAGGCATCGCTCTGTGCTGAGGCCTCTGTTTGGCAGAGTGCTTCAAGCAGATGTTTGGATGCCTTCACTCAGGCAAGGGCTTTGCTGAATCATGGAGCAATGGGAAGTTTATTTGGCAAAGGAATTAGAAGGACTGATGGATTATGAGATATTATAGACTTGATATCAACTGGGATATGGTTGTATTTAATATAGTTGTTCAGAACAGACAGTGAAGGAGACTGTTCTGCTTTCCCTCTGGGGCTGTACTGGTGTGAACACTGCCTTATTCCTGGTGTGGGTGTTGTTACTGAGCACAACGAGAATTGTGGTGATCAGAGTAAGGTGCTGTGCATCTGACACAAAGCAATGAACAGGCTGAGACAGAATCATTCCTCTCATTTATGATTTATTTGGCTATATCTGCATTTGCATAACTTCTTAAAACAAGAGAGCAAGTCTATTGCCTATGGCTGTGGCAGGGTCTAGGGGCTGTGGTGCCCAGCATGGCGCTGCGGTCCTTGCTGCGTGGATGGTCTGGGGAAGGGGGCCACGTCTCACAGGCACCTCTCAATGGGAGGCACTGAACGCCTTTTTACGAGCGTCACGGTCTGGAAAAGTACTGAGATGAGGCCCGACCTATAACGAGAGGAGCAGATAGACGATTGGTTACAGTGAGCTGCCAGCTGAAGAAAATAGGTTGTAGCAAAATCAGGAAAGAGGCTGTAGGTTAGCACAAGGTTTTTTTGCCTGTTTGGGAGATGTTGCTCCAGCTGAAGTTAAAAACTTAACCTGTTTAAAATGAGGACTAGTTTTCTGATTGACTTCAGGAGATTCTTATTCTGCTCTAAGAACCAGATTCTGTGGTCTTATTATGGTGTGTTGGTTGTCTGATGTTTCCAAATGCTGGCATGCCTTAAGATGGACCCTGAAATAAATATGACTTGTTTTCTACAGCACAGGACTCGTGCTTTGCTAAGGGAGCCAGGATGGGCTCAGAGCTCCCAGGGAAGCCCCTGTCAGGGGCAGGGACTCTTGCATGACCTGCCCAACAAACACACAAGCAACCTCTCCCCACGAATCACCTTGGAGGCAGGGAGGGGGTGAGCAATTGCCCATGATAAATAAACAAAGGGGAAGTCAGCTGGGGGAGAAAGGTCCCAGGGCCTTTTGGGGTGAGCGGTGGGGTTTACACACAGCTGCCTGCAGCAAACCTCTACAGTAGATGTAGAGCTACTAAAGCGTGTGAGTGTCTTCATGTAGGGAGTGGGCTTACTGTGGGGGGCCATGGGCTTTACCTGCCCCAGCACAATTCCTTGTGCCATACATCTTCCTTGTGTGGACATGCCGAGCTGCCTCCCGCTTCCCCCGCCCCACTCAGGCTGGCTGGATGTCGGTTTTGCATATGTAAAAATACACAGCAGTCTTTGCCCTGAAAAGCTTGCTAGTGATCTCATTAATCAAGACAAACAAAGCATATTTAGCTATTCCCCCTCTCTGGAGGAAGGCGTTCAGGTACTTAAATATGCATTTGAGTGCCTAACTTCAGACAGTTGTTTCTGGATGTTTTTGCTATTTCACAAGCAGCAGCAGTGACATAACTCCTTTCCAGGAGGGAAAGGTGGGGGAGGCAGAAGCAAGAGCTGTTAAAGTAGGTGACTAGCCCCTGGGAGCTGGCAGGGACAATCCCCAGCTGGGCCAACTCCAGTCTCCCATTAAAGATGCAGTTTTTCCCTCAGAGCTGGGATTGTTAGAAAAATCCAGTGTCTGCAGTTAGAGAGCTTTTCTTGAATGTGTCCCTGCTTTTATGCTCCCTGTCCACCAGTACTGGGAACTGGGCAGAGGGACATTTCTGCCTGGGATTGGGTTGAAGCTGCAGGGGAGGACGCAGCAGTTTATTTACTCCAGTCTTGGTACAAAGCTCCCATGTGAGAAATGTCACACTGAGACACAACTGGCGGTTATTAAAATCAGCAAAGCCTTGACAAAGTTGAGGGATGCCAGCTTCTGCCCCCAGCATGAGTAAGTGGGAAGCACCAGGTGTAGGACAGGGGACAAGTGCTATTTTAAAAAATGAGAAACCCCCTCATAATGAGGGCCAGTAATTAGATTAGAGTCAAGATAAGGGTGTCCTTGGGTCAAAGGTCTTATGACAAAGACTGTGTTGAGAAGTCAGTGCCAGTGATGAAGCCTCATCTCTGATTCTTGTAATTCATATTTTAAATGATGAACCCAAAGGTACCTCCTCTAGAGACAGCTGATGATCTTTACCATTACTCTGATGTGGTTATGGGCTGTTATGCCAGGATTTTGTCTGAATCATGGATTTGGAGCATTGGCTGTAGCAGGACAGGAATATAGCTTGTAGGAATATAGCTTGTAGGCACAAGCTTGGTGCTTTTCCTTGCAGGATGATGGAGCTGCCATGTGTTTCAGCTGCTGATTAGAAACAATGTTTTGCTGTTATTCATTGTATTTGCTATTGATAAATTAAAACCTGCGGAACACTTACAGCTGGAATGTTATAATGTCAGTGCTTGCTTCAAAGAATTGGAGGGGCAATAAAAAAAATCCTTATTGCTAAAATGTAAATATGTATTTGGGGGGTTATTTTCAGTTGGATTTCTCAGTAATGATGTTTTAAATCGGAGGGCTGTAAATAATCACTTGTCAAGCATCAATACAACCACATGCATGTTGCAAACAGAAGCAGGTATGTTAATGGAGGACTGATAAATTACATGTGAGATGCAGAGAGGCTACGCTGGCACAGGGAAGGCAGAGCTCCCCTGACAGCAGCAGAGCACCTACCCCAGAGACAGACCAGGGTTTTGCGGGTGCTGTTGGCGTTGGGCTTGAGGTGGGTGCTGGGCTGTGTGTGCTGTAGCTGCTGGGTGCTGTGAGCACCCTTGGGTGGTCAGTAAGCTTAGTTTCTGGAGGGAAGTTTTAATTAATATAGCTGGATTAAGTGGTTTGTGAAGGTTTGTAGATGTTGAGAAAGAACCCACGAAAAGGGCTGAAGCAAGTAATAAGCAGCACCAGGCTCTTCTCCTGCCCTGGAAGGATCCGTGCTTGGCTGCAGGGAGATGTGGCTGCACCCGTTCCTCTCCCAGCACCTGCCTGCCTCTGCCCGCCTGCTCAAAGGCAGATTCCCAGCCTTGTATGATTTTCCTACTTTAACAACAAAGCTGCCCCTAGACTCAGCCTAGTTTTTCCATCATCCGTTTGATTGAATCCTTTTAGTGGGTGACAAAACACTTTCTTGAGCTATCTTTACAGAAAACCAGTCTCTATTCCTTTTTCAAAACCTCCCTCATTTACAGGAGTCTAACAAATCCTGGGCCTTTTTAGTACTCTCCTCTTATATATATTTTTTTTTACTCAAAATAACACAAAACAACAGTGCCATGTTTGTAGATTTTTTTGGGGGGGGGGGGGGGCGGGGGGAATAAAATACACAATACAGAGAGGGGTAGGGTGTACACACTGACGCACATTGCGCCAAGCATCCCTGTACAGACAAAAACCGCGCGCGCGCACATCGAGATGCAAATGATTTCCGTGAAGCTATCACTTGTAAAGCTTGACAGAAAATAATGAGAAACACTAAATCTTTTATAAGGTCAACACTCAAGCAGCTGTCAAACAAGAAAAGAATTTAGCGAAAGATCCGCAAAAACTTCCATCGCCTCATTAAATCCAACAGGGCCGGGGCCCGGCGTGGTGAGGAGGCACCGGGGCGCCTCCGTTTTGTGTCAGTAATTTGCGGCGGAGGAAGAGGGAAGACGAAACAGCCAGCGCCGAAGGGGCCTTGGGGGAGGCTGGGGAATCGTTAGTGCGCCAGGAGCGGCCTCGGCTCCTAATTGGAAGCATTGGGCATTATCAACGGAGGATTTGCCTCGGCTCCCTGACAGCTCTCTAGGCCTGGAATGATAGCCCACTTGTCAGTGTAAAAGACCATTAAAAACAAACCATTTTGATTTAATTGGAGGCGGTGTGCTGGGGGCCCAGGTGAGGCGCTTCATCAGCTGATGTTGGCTGCTGATGCCTTTTTCCCCCTGTATTGATGGCTTTTTTTTTTTTTTTTCCTCCCCTCCCTTTCAAAAACTGTCTAGGAAAGAGAAAGAGGTGCTGAAAGATCCTTCACAGCCGCATTGAGAGCGGCTTTCAATAGGGTTGTCAACAAATGCCATGACAAGTTAGAGAGAGGCAGGTGCTTTTAAAACAGACGTTATTCTGTCCAAGATGAGCTGCGCTCGGAGGTGTGTGTTGGATTATTAGGGTTACAAATACTGTGGCTTTTCCTGGCAGTAGCACGCTTAGACATTTTAATGAATGGGGTTGATTTTTTTCTCTGACCACCTTTCTAATTCTAAGAACATGGAGAAATGCAGGACGGGGGTCTGGGCTAAATGATCCTTATTTGCTTCAAACCCAGGAAGGCTTTAAAAATTGCTTAACAATTTTTGGCTGCTGTATTTAATGCCCCATGGAGATTTGGGATTTTTTTTTTTGCTTCCTGAAAATAAAGGCCACAGGTATTTGCTGGAGTTCACTGGTCACTTGGTCTGGGCAATAGTGTGAATAAAGGAGAATTAACACATGGGAGCTGTAACCTAGAATGTGCCCCCCTTGGCAGACTAGAGCTGGCAGCTTTCATGATGACCTTGTGTTTCTGAGATTTGAATCCTGACCCTTTTCATGCCAGGCAAGAGTTTTACTTCAAACTAAGCTGTCTGCTGGTGAATAGCATCTCTGCAGAAGGTAGAATAGGTCTGTGAATGAAACCCCAAGTCCACTTAAAAAGCACTTCTGTGGATTTGTGTATGAAACAATAGGGAGCACTGAAAGCCATGGTAGGTCCTCACCTGTAACCCAACACAGTGTGTGTGGTTTTACTCTATTGTGAGCACCTCAAATCTGTTCCTTCTTGGGTGAATATCTCCATAACAGCAATAGCCATTGGTTGCCAACAGCTTGTGCTGCCTTTGGACACTGGGGCTTGGGTGCTGCGTGCCCTGGAGATGATCCGGGCTGTAAGGCTGTACAGGGAGGGGTGGTGTTTTCTTGTGTCAATTGTGAGATATTGGAGAGCAATGAAAACGGCAGAGGAACGATGGGTTACTGTGTCTCTGAGGAAGGGCTGAGCGTGGCAGGGCAGCACTAGGATGTGATGGAGAGGTTGAGTGTCCAGGGCATATTCAACATGATACTGGGAAGGGTTGGACCGTGGAAATGCCTTACTGTGATTTGAGCAATTGCATTACTGGAAGCTTCAGCTATTAGGTAAAACAAGAAAACCTCCAGAATCTGCAAGAAAATGTAGCGATGGTGACTGATGTCCAGAGCCTGCATTTAGTCAGAGAATGGCTGTGGTGTGGGAGGTGACATCTCTGCTGTGGTCCCAGTGGAGATGTGCAAGGATCATGCTCAGGGTAGCTGAGTCTCTGCTGCCCATTTGGAACCCTGCAGGGTGTTTTATTTTCCTTTTGCATTGTGCCTGTTGTAGGCAGGTCATCACTGAAGGCCAGTGGTGCTGCTTTGTATTGTTGCTGCAGGGCTGGGACCCACCAATTCATGCCACTTGGGCCACTGAACAGCCATCAGGTGACACTGATTTTTTTTTTTTTTTTTTTTTTTTTTTTTTTTGGTCAGCCAAAGTCCTAGCTGAAGGGAGACTTGATCAGGTACCATGGTGACAGGAAGCTCATTGCTTTATTCTTTAAGTACTATTTAGGCCCCAGCAGATAAGTTTTAGAACGCTACAACTCCGTGAAGTTTGCTGCCCTCAAACCTGGGAGGATGAATGCTGTATCTGAAAAGCCAGCTCACCGTGCACTGTGTGTATCAAGCCTAGGTTATTTAAGCAGAGTCTCTGGCTTTTCTGACAAGACAACAGTTGAAAGATTACATGAGCTGTGTTTGTCAGTTCAGCTCTTCAGACAAAAATAGAGGTAAGGCATTAAAAAAAAATGTGGAACATATCAGTGTGTATGTGTTAAACCTCAACTGTTAATTCTGATGAAGGATCAGGCTGTGAGCAGATATCGGATCCCTGGTGAGAATCAAATTCTGGAGCCCAGAATTTTGCTGCAAAGTTTATACAGTGGGGATTCCTCTAATTACTTTCAGTGGAAATTTACCTGACAGAGCTTTCCCAGGTAATGCAAGGCGTATGTGGGAGAGCCGCTCAGTCGTTGACAGAGCCTTTGATTTTGTGCCAGGTTGCAAATTAAGTCTTTTGCCAAGGTACCCGAACACTTGCTCGTCAATTGCTTATCGCTTATTCATATTGCGCACTGAGTGCAGCTTGTTTCATCTGCTTGGGAAGGCAGTGCGTGTTGACAAAAGTGTTGTCCAAAGTTGCTGCATTTTCTTTCCTCCCCCTGTTTGGTCAAGTAAACAAGACTATTCTCCCTGGAAAGCCACCTTGAATGTCTGTGCAAGTTGGAATTCCCTAATGAGCAAAGGAAAAACCTTGGTGTGTGTCAGTGACGCGTGGTGCGCGGAGCTATTTTGACACACGGGTGAGTTCTGCCCCACATCACTGCTGCGTGAGGTGTTGCAACCTAAATCCTTTTGGATTGGCTTGACAGAGCTCTGGAAATCTATTGCGGCGTAGCCAGTGTTGACTTACTGGTTTGGACTGTGACTATATTCAATCAATGTGAAATATTCAGGAAGCTGGAGCCTCACCCTGGGCTGGCACAGGCAAGGCTGTGGGGATGCTGTATTTTGGCAGCAATGTCCTTTCCAGAGTCTGGTTGACACCAGGGATGCCATCCTGCTTGGGCCAGCATGATGCTAGTGATGAGTGACACGGGGACAGGACACATCCCATGAACATGGTGGGCAGGAGTATTTATGTCTATGCTGGGTGCCTGAGGTTCCTGGGGAATGTAGTCCCACATCTACAAATAGATAAAGTCTTGTTGCACAGGCCCAGCTGCGTTGGCAAAACCTGAGCCCAGGAATCATGTTGCTGCAGGCAGAGCAAGGCAGAGGCTGTTTGCCTTAAGGGGTGACTGAGGAAGAGGAGGGCAGTAGAAGCATCTTGCTGAGGTAAGGAGTTAACTTCTGTTTGGTTTTGTAAATAATAAAATACTCCAGTTCCACAGCTTTCCCTAATGAACTGCCCATCAGAACTGACTGGATCCCTGTGACCTGTTTGTCTCAGTGGGCTGCAGGGCCCACGAGACCCCACGCCAGGTCAGTCCTTCAGAGCGAGATGTGGAGCAGGAGCAATCACCCGGTGTGGGAGAGCCTGTAAATCACCCAGTTAGCTTAATAGTGTGGGCCATTATTCTAAAGCAGTGGGGCTGAAACCTAAATCCAAATGAAAATGTAGTCAATTTGTCTATACTTTACTGACTGAATGACTATGTAATGTCATGCAGCCGTGGCAATGCAGGGAGCAAGCAGAGGCAATTAGTGGGGAGGGCAAAGCTCCTTTGTTTTCTTCCACAAGCTCTAGCATGGTGCCAGGAGGTAATACTGCAGGGGCTGGGTGGAAAGTCCAGTTTAAGATCCAGCAGTGACATCCATGCCCAATTTCTTCAGGTTTCTGTACGGGTTTAGGATGGGAATAGAAAAAAATCCTTGTTTCTTTTTATAGTTTTAAAGGAACAAAATCTTACCTTCCTGCTGCCCTGTGCTTTGGGTTACAACCGTCTCTGTAGCTGGGTGCTCTGCATTGCTCCCCCCAGGCCCAGAGCAGGCCAGACTCAAAGGCATCATGCCAGATGACAGGGGCTGACTGAGTGACAAGAAGGATGAATGGGTTGAGGACATGCCACACCCCTACACCTTGTACCAGCCTCTGGTCACGTGGAAAAATAGTCCAAAATGGGGCTATGGTCAGGGCAATGGAGCATCTGAATATTCTTGCCCAGGTTTTGAAGATGTTCCCAGGTCATGAATATCTTCTGTAATGGCAAGAGCAGGACAATATCACTGCAGGCTGGTAGGAAATCACATGCAGATGAGAGTCTGCTAACAAGCTTTCTGTAAAATGATATTTTTGTAGTTGCTTTTCATACTGCTTTTTGTGCAGTAGGATGAGGGCATTATGGATTAAAGACAGTGTTTTCATAAACTACCTACAGTGGTCAGTGCTAACAACTGACCTCCCAAGGCCACTGAGTCTTAAAAAAGCTGTAAGAGTTATCCACTGCCATGGAAGAGACTGAGGAAGGTTTCATGAGGGCAGAAACACAGCAAGAACAATCTCCTTCATCTCTGGAGCACTGCTCTCTGTCCCTCTTATAAAGGGGAGGGATTGATAGAGTGACTCCTGGAGTCGCTGGGTTTGGTTGAAGGGTTAGTCCAGTTTATCTTTCAAGACTATTTCACTGCCACTTATGTAGAACCCAACTTTACAGAGATACTTAAAGCAGAGTTTGGAGGCTACCAACTGTCTTTGGGAACTATCAACTTTCTCTGGGTTGATACTGCTTTTAACTGGGTAAACATCTATGGACATTCAAGAGAACTTATTTTTTCACAGAGGAAACCATGCACTGAAACTTGAGTAACGAATTTCCTGATCCATGTTCTAACATGGGCTGTGCCTGTTAGATGTGCAGCTGGGGAAAGGCAAACCTTCGAGGTTAATGTAATGAGAAAGAACAAGTACAGAAAATCTGAAGAGGCTGTGCAAAATGAGCTGTCCCTCCTCCTCTGGATGCTGCTCCTGGGAAGGAAGGGAAGAGGAGAGGAAGGAGAAAGGCAGAGAGAGGAAGAAAAGACTCAGATGTTTGAGAGCTGTGTCTTGGGGAGGAACCCAACCATAGTCATGGCTGAAACAAAAGGGAAAGCATGAAGAAAAACACAGGCTGAAAAATGAATAGTGATGGAAAGGTCTGGGGTGAGAGGAGCTCTAAAGAGGAGGCTTGCCCCAGTATCTCGTGTGACTTACACAATCTGTTTAACAGCGATCGGTCATGTTCTTTCCCTGACACTAGCTGCAGCAGCGGCTCTGTGCTGACAGGCAGCGGGGATAAATGATTACTGACATATGCTAATCGGACAGTCTTAGACAGGACATAAGAGGAATACATCAAGGTGGTGCAAAACACATTTCTTGGTTGAAACTCTCCAACTTGTAGAAGTAAATTAGCTTCAGGAAGCCACAAGGCTTCTTCGTAGGTTTAAACTGTGGTTAAAAATCAACAGCATGGCAAAAAAAAATAATCTCATCAGAACAAGGGCTGGGGTGGAGGGCTGAGGGGCTCTTTGCAGTGTTATCTATCAATGCCAGATACTATTTTGGCCATGTAAACTTGCAGGGTTTCAGCACTTTCAGACTTTTTGGTGTCTCCTTTCCATTCCGCTTGCCCAGCTCTTTTCCCTTCCTTCCTAAAATGCCCCCTAGCACTTCACTTGAAATTTCCCTATAATTTACACCACAAACAAAGCTAACAGAATTCAAACAAGTACCCCAGAGCACAGCAGAATGCACAGATGGATTCAGAGAATTGTTCAGATCCCATTGCTAGAACAAGAAATCTTCACCTCGGCCCTTATTTGGATCAATTAAAGGAAGTGTCACGCACATCTGTGACCTGGCTAGATCCTTTGCTCAGTCTCAGGGTGAATATTGTCAGTTGGGTAGTTTAGAGAGGTATCAAGCGTGCAGGATTTCTGGAAAGCTCTAATTCTTGGGGTGAGAATGGTTCTTGAAACATCTGGTGTGGTTTGAATTAGCTATGGTGAGAGCTGATAAAATGACAGGCTACCAAAATGCAGGTTTGACTGTCCTGCCAGTGTAGGACAGTTGTGGGAATACCAGCAGAGAACAGAGGCCACCTCAGTACTAACAGGGAGATATAAAAAGATGTTTCTCATCTCATGAAGCTCATGAAAGCGCACACAATGTAGAAAATAAGTCATTAAGCTCTTATTTGGGCAACTTCTGCTTTTCTTTTAGGGCTTATGGCTGCAAAAAATAGCCCACCCTGAAGACCACAAGAGGCTGATGTTTGAACACATCGTGTGGGGCTATTTCAGGGTCTGGGTCAGCCCTGAGGTAAGAGCCTCAGACCTGCCTTTGTTGTGTGCTAAGGGTGTTATTGGGGTGTGTGGGCAAGGTTAGAAGGGTGTCCCTGAGTTCAGTCAAGTTCTCCATACCTTCTCCAAGTGGGGCAGGTGCCAGAAGGACTCCTCCTTTGCAGGTGGCGGGTGTCTTCGTAGAAATGTGGTGCGAGTTTCATACACTTTGTCCTTCTGTAACCAAAGGTAAACAAGAATGGGCTGAAATGGCTGCACAGCTATCTACATCAGGTTGGTGTCATGCAATGTAATGACACAGGGATGAACAAGACTAAAAGTCATTTTGGACTGATGATCACAAGTGTGTCATCTGGGTAGTTTTTCATGTCCATGCAGCTAATGCTGATATCTAAAACATACTGATGAGAAAAACATGAGCAGCTGCCAGCTCTGAGAGCGTCTGCTTTATATGGCATCCCAGTGAGATGCCTGCTGCCTGCAGGAAGCCCTGTGTTCCAAGCTAGAGCAATGGTTCATCACTAGCTGGGGAAGTCACTTCTACAACCCCCACCATGGGAGGGGGTGTTCCTGACTGTCTGGTGTGTGTTGCTCTCCTGATTAGTTGCAGCTTGCAGTGCTTCATAGTCCCAACACAAGACACTGCAGGTATCTGCTGAATATTTTGACCACTGTGAAACCCTGGGGAATCTGTCTGCTGTGTGGTCTAGGAGGTAGATTTGCCTTGCTTAACTCAGTAATTGGTGGCTGCAGGCTTTGGGAACTTGATGGAGGGAACTTTGTGATTAAAAACATCAGTCCTTAATAGATAAGGTAGGAATGCACTTTCCAACATCCTAGGCTTGTGTATTCATAAAGTAGCTGCTAATTAAGAACACTATTCTTGCACTTCAACTATAAAGCATAGTTTGTGATGGCAGTAAGCCCATTGAAATTGGTCATTACCATATTAGCTCGACTCTTCTTTGAGCCATTAACTAATAAAACAGTCATTGGCTGCTTTTAAATGTTATTACAATATTGGCGTGTTTAACAGCACGGCGTTGCACTCTAACAACTGCTGTGGGTGCTGACATCAAGCACACCATGCCAGGATCAGGGCTGGTGCTGATCCTATGAACATTTGTTGGCTGTTCCATTTTGTCCACTGTCACAGGTAACCTGATGCTATCCAAGGGACAGTCTGCAGGGTTCCTGGCATGCCAATGACATAAATACCAAAGATAATTTGAAACTTAATTCTTTGTTACAGCAGGGTGTTTTACTACTGTGGCGATGCAGAAAGAACCAGAGCTTCCATTTTGATCAATACCAAGAGCTTAGCTGGGCAACCTGTGACTAGAGGCATGCTGGTGCAGACAGATGCTTGATGATTGCTAGAAGGATGTCTGTGGGACAGGTATCTGAGCCTTTGAAAAGCCTTGGCCAAAGCACCGCTACCCTGGAGAGCTTGCTCAGCTCCTGTGTATACCTTCAGATACAAATATACTTTAAAAAACCCCCACCTTCCCTTTAGTCTCTAGAGCACTTTCATGCACACACATTGTGATTTGCATATCTGGTGTTGACTCCCACAGCACCACCCCATAAGACATGCTCTGGTTGAAGTCAGGCCCATCTTGGCTGGGAAGCAGCTCATCTTCGATAGGTTTCACCAGCCTTCTAGCAGTCAGGAAGGATGTTTTCCCAGTTGAAAGCCCTCCCCATGGCTGGGAGAAGCCCATCCATTGTCAGGCAGGACACTGGGGGACTATGCCTATGTGCTGTGCACAGCAAGGGAAAGCACTGCTGAGGTATCACCTTTTTCTTTTCCACTTGTAGGGCTGCTGTCAAGGCTCTCTGCTGCTCCATCCACAGCTCCTTGTATTTGTGTTGGAGGAGGTCAAAAAAGGGAGTGCAAGGCCTGGAAAACATGGAGAAGACAAGAGTATAATCTCCAGGGTTAATACCTCTTTACCTCCCCATGCTGATGTGTATCTCTTCTCCTGGAAAGTGTGCCTGAGAGCATGAATAAACCCTCACACTGGGAAAAGTTTTCTCTTCAAGAACGACTCAAACCCACATTCACTTGCAGTTAATATACCACAGCCTGCACACACTTGTGATAACTTGTCACAGGATTGTGCAAGGGCATTCCCCAGAAAGTGTGCAATTTCTATCTTTGCAGAAGCTTTTATAGGGCCCATATCATCACCTCTGTTCAAACCCTGGTGTGCTGGAAGGCCACAGAGTGCCACAGACTGCAGCTCAGCCTTGGGCCCTGCTATGGCTCCAGGAGAGCATTTCTCAGCTGGTACTTGATAGTGGGTAACAAAAGCACTGAACGGGGCCACGTCTAGGAGCAGGGAGCTGGGCTTTTGCACTGTCGCCCTGGTGCCCAGATGAGCAGTTCTGGCTGGGTCCCCTCCAGACTGATACAGCTATGGCAGCTGCCTGGGAAGAACCACTGGGTGCAAAGTGAGTTTTGGTAAAATAACTTTGCTTTTACAATTAAAATATCACTACTGTGGTATACCAAAAAGCCACAAACAGATGCAATGATGGATTGGGTGAGAGGAGTAAGTGCTGTCTTAAGAAATCTGCACAGGGATAAAAATGGACTCAGTGCAGATGGTCAGGTTTCTGCAGCAGAAAGGGGAGCTGAAATGCTGAGCCCTGGTCTAGCACCTCAGCTGCACAGACCAGATGTATTTGCCCCTAGAAGCAGGGTACCAGGGAGCCTCTTGGCCAGGAGGAGACAGCAAGAGAGGAGCTGCAGATGACCACGGTTCTAGAAAAATAGTAAAAATAAAAGGCAGTTGCTTGTTGGCCAGCGTCCTGTTCACCTACTCTGAGCTGGCATTAACCTGACCAGCTCGTGGCAGAGCTGCAGCCTGAAATTGTTGAGCTTTGCTCCTTGCAAGTGAGGATACTTTAACTTCATCAGCCACCATGGGAGGCAGAACTGGCAGTGGCAGCAGCAGGGTTCTTGCCTCGAGGACAGCATATCACTTATTGCTGTGGTCCTGCTGCTATTTTCCTCCAGAAGCAAACACTTGATGGTGATGAAGGACCTCGACCTCAAGTTTTATTGGTCCTTGTCCACCTTGCTGGGGAGGGAATTTTCCCATCTCAGCAGCAGACAATGACTGTGGAGCCATCACCCCCAGCTCTGCTCCCACCTGTAGCCCTCAGTGCTCATAACAGAAAGGCAGTGCTTTCCCTGCCTGCCTGGACAGACTGCAAGACACTGGGGACCTGGGCTAACTCTTGGGTTACTTTGGGCCACCAGCTCTACCAGGAGGTTGTTTCCTACAGAGAGAGACCATGTGCCACAGAGTGAGCTGGTGCTTCATGGCTTTTGGCAGGAGTGGGTCCAAAATAGGTAGCTGCCAGCTTTTAGCAGTCTGGAGAATCTTTGACGATCATGGAGGGCGCCAGCAGCACGTATGCAAATAGTAACTCTTCTGTTTCTTGTTTCTTCACCCCTGTGGTGACTTTTATTACTTAATTATTGCACACCACATGCTTCAAAACAGCCTAATCTATGGTCGTGTTTTCTAATGATACTAGATGTGCAATCCAGCAATATACTTCCCAAGGGGGCATTCATATCAGAGGAGACATCCTTCTGCAGACCTCCTGTTTCATAGATCACATGCTGCAGGGCTTTTCAAGGCTTTGCTTACAAATCAGCTGTGCTGCTCCAGACTTGTCTGGAGATACCCAGTGCCAAAAGCGACACTGACGTTTACCCTTTGTCCCTTCTTCTCTTCCCTCCTTCTCTTCCAATTTGGCATTTCTTACTGATCAGAGCTAGGCAAAATATTTCCAAAGGACAAAAGATGTGGCAAACCTGTGGTCAAGTGTCTTATTGTCTGCATGGGTCTCCTCTCTCATTGCACAGTGTATGTTTTTGTATTCCTTGCACAAGCACGTGGTGAGCCTTGCACATGGGTTTGTTTCCCTGGCCTGTCCCTTTGCTCTCCAAGGCAGGGGTTTTTCCAGTGTGCAGGAATAGTGGGGTGGGACTCAGGAAAACATTGAGCCCTTGTATGTAGTGTTTGATTACTGATTTTTGTGGTAGCTGAATGTGTTTTCACATCTTTATGGAGGTGACTTTTACCATCTCCAGTGGACCAGCCAGTTGGTGACTGATTACTCCACAGCTGGCTTGTAAGTAAATGCTTGAAAGGACACATTTGGGTTGATGCTCTTCAGAGATCCTTCCCTGCCGTGTGATTAATCACATTTAAGTCCTGATCCAGCAAAGTATAGAATCATGCCTGGAATGATACATACATGAACTGCCTCTTTGAAATCTGTGGGAATGACTTGTGTGCTTGGTTATACACGTAAGCTCTGGTGGGGCTGTAGGACGTGAGGCTTCGTCTGTCTTTTTCTGACTCCTTTAACAGAAATACTGAGAAAGTAGGGAAGAGCAGGGGATATCAGGTAACACACTATGACTAAGGTAACTGGAGAAATTTCAGTGAGGTGGCTTTTTCTTTGTAGGTCAAACGCCGATCTCATCGGAGTGGATGGGGAGTTTTGGCCCTGGTATCGGTGCTGCTTGGCAGTGTGACAGTATTCCTCATTTGCAGCTGGCCTTTGGGAAAACGTCCTCTCGCCTTAGTGTTACTTAAGGACAGGAATGAACGGCTTGTGTGTTCTGTTTCCTTTTGTCACTGTGCCCAGATGTCACTCCTCTGAACTGGGAGGATTCTGCTGTTATCATCTGCGGATGCTGTGGGGAGAGCGGGGGAAGCATCCTTTGAAAATGCTTATTGTGGATTAAAATCCATCTCATTCAGAGTAACTCAGATCTCCTTGTTTTGGCACAAGCACCCTGCCACAGAAAGGGAAGGGAAAGAAGTTCTGATAGGATGTAACAAATTATTTATAATTGTGGAAAAAATAATCAGCTGCTTCCTTTTATAGTCAAATAGTTGGAGCCACTTCTAATGTTGACATTTCCTAAATATTTTAAAATTTATCTGTGCACATTTTCAAAACTATTATCCCTGAAACAGTTCCTGTCTCTTTAATAGCCTCTCTCTCTAATTTACTTTCAAGAGTACAGACCTAGTTTCAACTGAAATGACAAGCGCCTGCTAACTTGGTTATACAATCTGGTATGCTAGTCTGCCAGAAGTCTCCCAGAAAAGAAGCTGCAGCATCCTAATAGGCTATTTTACTGTGAAAACAATGGTAAAAAGTATAATAAAGTATTAACAATATTAAAATAAAACAGTGTAGGCCTTAAATGAGCTACAAACTAGTTAAATCTATTCTACTCAATCTGAGCCTTCAGTGCCTCGCAGCTGATACCTCAGAGCTGGGATTTATCTAAAATGAAGGCACCAGGGACATGCAAGAGAAATGGTAATTATAATTTGCAAACATTAGGCTGACACTTTTTTGTGTATGTGTGTATAAATTCTGACAGCTGTGATTTGTGCCATGCCAAATAGTGTTCCACTGAGCTGGGAAGGGCTCCCTTTCTGGCAGGCCATCCTCAGAGCAGCAGCTCATTAAAACTTTGGAGAAGAAGTTGCCGAAAACAGGAAGGCATCAGAACCATCTGAGGGACTTTTGGTACACGCTTGTTGAAAGGTGTTTGAGAAGAGAGCCTTGGGTCTGACAAACTGGAATTTTAGTACGCCTCTCCGTTCACAGTGGGGCAAAATAATTGGTCATCAGTGACTACTAATTTGGTTTAGTAGCCAGAGGCAGTTTTTTTCTTCCCAGAAAATCAATGACAGTGCCGAGGTCTGTTCAACGTGATTCAGCTCAAGACGGGTCCTCATTTAGCTCTTGATGCTTCTTCCACTGGAGACAGCTATTTTGTTAAAATGAAATTAAAATCTATCTATAATACTCAGCTCAGGGAGCGGCACCCGTCAGTGCCATGCTGCTCTTGAGGCTTCAAGGTTGTCAGTCTCCCCTCAAACTTATTTTCAAAGGTTTATATATTAACTGAAAAAACGGCATTTGGCAAAAGTGGATACAAAGGACTTCGCTCAGGAAAGGGGTTTATACCAATTTAAAAGGTGCAATCAATTTGATGGCTAAGTTGTGTTGTAAAAGGGTAAAAACTTGACTTGTGATTGCCCTTTTCTTGTATAATTGAAAAGCATAGGGGCTTGTAAATATTTTAGCGCAAACTTCAGCCCTTGGATTTTCCGGGTAGCTCTCCAGCCAGCGCAGACAGCTCCTGCGGCACTCTCCCCGCTGCTGGTCAGGATGGGATCTGGCGGGGAGCGGGGCGAGGGAGCAGGGCACACACGTGTGGGCATCGACTCCCCGGGGGCTGTGCAGCTGCTTGGGCTGCGCTGAAAACACTGCTTTAATTTCAGTGGCAGTGGGACCTGGCCCTGCACGGGTGCTTACGCAACAGCTAAATGATGTAGTTGACTTTTTTTCTTTTTTCAGTTGTGATATTAAAATTGTGTTGCAACACCATTGCTTATCCTGAAACTTCAACACTCAAAAGGTTAATGAGCTTTCAGGGGGGGTTTAGTCCTTGCTGGTGTTCTCCTATCTGAGATGATGTGCTTTTGCTGCACAGCCAGCATCTGTCTTTGGGGTCTTCAGTCCACAGGGGAGACAGCTGCAGGGGGTGTGTCCATTGTGTTCCTTTCTCATGTACTTCACGATGGGAAAGGTTTGTCCTGTGGTAGCAGTGTCCATCTAGAGATCTTCCCTGTCTTGTGGCCGGGTCAGCTGGACCAGCTCGGGTTGGTTTCTTATTGGGAACCAGTTTGGTTTCCAGCATCTCTGGAGTGCGAGGCTCCTCGGTGCAGCAAGTGCAGATTATCTTCAGCAAATAAAGCACAAGCTGGAGTCTGTGATTCTGCTCGGGGCCTTGGGGTACCGCCAATGCAGGCGCCAGTAAGGCATTAATGCTCTGGTCCCTCTGCC